TTAATCTTCTGCATAACTGTTAGAGTCTACTTCATGGGTTTCATTTCTTTTGTATGTTGGGCATACGTAATTTCCAGCATTCTCCATTTTTTAAAATCTGTGTCAGCTGTAGAGTCATTAAGCGTGTCTTTCATTATGGTCACCATCTCTGTAGGTATCTGAAAGATTCTTCTGATTTGATTTTTTCCAAGGCCTCATTTACCTGCTTTGTTACTTCTGCTGTTGCCACTTCGGAGAGTCCAAGTGGGTATGTTTCAAATTGTCCCACCACATAGGCCACTGGGTTTGCCTTTGGTGAGTTGAAAGTCTGGGGTTGCATCTTGCTTATGCACCTTCTTGTTTTCTATTTTTAAATATGATTTCTGAGTTATTGCTTGTAAATTGCTTAGGCAGCTAGTTTTACTGCTAGTATTTAGAACTCTTGGAAAATGACTACTTCTTAGATTACTTCTGGGTGTAACAGGCTTCTGGGTTTTGAGCCTGCTGCAAGATCCTTCTCTTCAATTTATTGGGATGAGAAGTTGCTGCCTGTTTGACCCAGTCCCTATTTTTTTGGCACTGGGCTACAGTATTGCTTGTGACCCTCAGGTCATCTCAGTTTTGGCATACCAAAAAGAAGAACTGATTAAAACAATTGTGTCCCCATGGGCTTCAATTCTTGCTTTGTTTCTTTGTTGGGTCCTGGAAACCCAGTTCCCTCCTTCTTTTCCTCCTCACATTGCTATAGTCCAGCATCTAGACACCAATCTCAGAGATACTCTTCCTCGGCTGCTTACCACTCTGCTGTCTTCCCAGAAGTCTCATCATAGAGTTTTAAATGTTGTGTATCCCTGTGTTCTTTGTTAACACAGTTTTGGAACCAGAGGAAAGCAACCAAAGCCTGCCTCCTATCTCCATTCCTCTCTGTAGCTCCAGGGTCCTCCATTCACAGCCTTATTTTAAAAAGAGGTATGAGGAACCCCAGTCAATTGTGTGCATGTCAGTGTTTTGAGAGCTCTGCATATTAATCATAATTGAAAGGGTTCATGCAACAAAACTGCCTTTTTTTAGAGTCGAATGCTCTAGAAGGGAGGGTCACAGACAGTAAAAAGGCCTACAACAGAGACTGAAGTCTTTCTGATTCACCTATACTCTGTAGCAGCTCATAAAGAGTCCTCTCCACCACACTGCAGTAGTTATTTACTCATTTGTTTCTTCCACTAGACCTGCATGGGGCAGAGTCCTTTCCATTTGTTTTTTGGAGGCAGGAGAGTAAAGTAAACAAGTTTTGGCCTGGGAGGATCTCAGTGAGACAGGTTCTCCTGCTGAGAGCTCCCACAGCTTCCGGACACTCTTCCTACAGCTCATCATACTTGTTAATCACATGTTTGTAAGATGACTGTGTAAATTCCCCTCTAGATTTTAAGCTCTTTGAAACTGAGATCCCACCTGTTTCAGCACTGCCTACCCAGTGCCTTGTACACAGGAAGGAACTAACAGTGGCAATCAGCGCGAATGCTTGGCACACAGGAAGTAACTGGTAATACTAGTCAACGAATAAATTGAAAGTTTGGATCTGAATTCCAGATCTTGTCCTTGTTAGATGTGGGAACTAAGACAAGCTATTTAACTGAGCCTCAGTTTCCCCTTCAGTGATTTTTATTTTGAGGATTTAAATGAAGTAAACCATGTGAAGTGCTTAACTCAGCCATTTGCGCATCACGGTGCTTTGGAAATGTTTCATAATATGCTAATGAATTTATTGTACGTAATAGAATTGTATATATACTGGGGACTTGGAAAGCTGTTTTATCTCTACCTGGAGGGAGAAATATGTGTATATATTTCAAATCACCACCATATATAATATATATATATATATGATGGTGAATTGAAAACTGATGGTCCACTTGTAACACCAGGTGAACTGAATCTGTGTGGTGCTGAGCGTGGATGGCCCACCTGAGGACTGTTGCCAAAATAAAAAGGAGAATTAGAGGGGCCCGGGGTTTAGCTCAGGTGCAAGTGCCTGCCTGGCAAGCGCTAAGTCATGGGCTTGATCCCTGATATGGAAAAAAAAAAAAGGAACTAGAGAGAAAGAGTTTAGTGTTGTTTAGGGCTGTTGGTTCTCCAGGAAAAGCTTATCAAGCTAATATCCTGATATGTACTTGGTTGTTCTCATCATTGTAGGAGCTTGGGATCTCATTGTCATTGGGGACAGCTGTGATACTTTTCTGGGGAGCCTGGTCCTTGAGTGTTTCTTCTTGCCTCCAGTGCTGAAATCTCAACATATTAGCACAGATCCTTCACCCTGCTGGCATAGACTTTTTAGCTTCCACTGCTGACCTTAGATTGTTCCCAGTGTAGATCCCTAAAACAGACTTGCATAAATCATTGTCATGGGCTCTAGACCTCCAGAGGGACTTGTGGGAGGCATTGTCATGGGCTCTAGGTCTTCAGTTGAACTCATGCAGGATATTGCCATGGGATCTAGGTTCTTAGCTGAATTCTCTAGGTCTATAGTGTATGGACAGAATTCCTGAACTTCTTGTATTGATTCCTCGGATGACAAATTGACTTCTATATATTCTCATTGACTCCTATATATTCTAACTCCCCAAGAAAGAAATACAGTTTTGCAGTCCTTCAGATGCCTGAAGTCTGTTTAATTGAATGGTACCAAGAGTTATGGCACTTTCTGACCTGGATGCCGGTTAACTAATTCAACAACTACCAGGAACTATTATTATTCAGTGCCAGCCAGGATTTGGAAGAGAGTAAGACATGCCTTTGTCCCTGACAATCTTACATCCTTGATACAGACCTTTCCATGTATAATTTTGGTATCTAAAGATAGTGGGTGATGTCTGCCCAGACTAAACTAAGCCATGCCTAGCAGGGTAGGAGCAGTATACCCCTGACCCAAATCTGCGCATAAGTTATCTAGGGAGCTTTCCATAGAGACATTCAACCTCTGCAGGTCTAGATGGGGAGGCACTTCTAGCTCTATGTATTTCCTAAGGTCCCCAGGGCACAGATGTTAGTTAGTCTGGACACCACATTTTGAGACTCAAGGGTCTAGGCTGGGGAGACAATAGGAGCTACAAGGAGTAAGAACAGGTATTAAAACTTTCAGCTTTATAAGAGTCAAGGCTCCAAGACGTTCAGAAACATGTCCAAAGGCACATCTCATATCCATGAAGTGGTGGAGCTGAGACGATAGCCTGGTCTAAATTGCAAGTCTGCATATCCTCCTGCTGCCTCAGGCTGCTCCTCAAAGTGGCACAAAGCTTGTGATAGTGGCTGTGTCTGTCCCATGGGTCCCCACGGAATGCGATGATTTCTTCCTGATGATAGTGTGCAAGTACTTTGGAGAAGTTTAAGGAATGATGAGGAGCCAGCATCAGGAAACCTGGCTTCCGGAACCAGCAGTTACCCTGCTGACTGTGCACCCCCACCCAGTTACATCTCACCACCAAGTGACTGTTTTCTCTCTGGACTTGTCACCAAGATTTGAAGTGAAAACTTGGACTCTCACTTAAGGCTCCCACTAGCTACAACCAGAGACCCAAAGGGACATAGCCACTTACAGGAATGTGCTGACAAGTTGCTGTCCCTGGGTGGGCTTGCTTTGTCCAGCTGCAAACAGCACAGTGATTGTAGTGGTGGGTAGCAAGGCTGAGCCACATGGTTCATTTCTAAGGCTCAAAACCAAGTGGACTCAGCTCTTTCTCCTCCCACTTTACCCCTTTTGGGATAAGAAAGTCAGTTAATGCACGCCTGTCTTGTTACTGGAATCCAGTGACTTATTACTTGAGTTCCCTCAGTTCACAGATGGAAAATGGTTGTCTTAGGGTGATTTAAACCCAGGCTTATTCTTACCTAATGCGGATGGTTTGGTTTAGGTCATGAGAACTGGGGTGCTTAACTTGGGAATCAGATGAGACTTTTTGGATTTGGAGTTGATGCTGCCTTGTGTTGAGACTTTGTAGGACATTGGCATAAGATGAATCTATCTCATATATGGGATGGATATGAATCTTTGGGGGTTCCAGGGTGAAGTGCATAGTCTGAATAATGGTCCCCAAAGATGTCCATGCACTCATCCCTGGCATCTGAATGGTGTATTATAAGTCAAAGGGAATTAAAGTAGCAGACAAAAAGTTTGCTAATCAGCTGACTTTAACATAGGTAGACTATCCTTATTGTCTGAGTAGGTCCATGGAATCACCAAGACACCTACCTGTGGAAGGGGAGGTGGAAAGGGAAAACAAAAGAGACAGCAGAGTGGGCAGGCATTGGCCTGTCCTTGCTGCTCTGAAGATGGAAGAGGGCCCTCCAGCAGCTGGAAAAGGCAAGGAAAGACCGTCTCCCTGCAGCCTCCAAAAGTTGAGGATAATCAGTGTGCCTGTTTTAATCGCCATGCTTGCAGCAGGGAAGCCAACATAAAACCTGACCTGCTTGTGGACCGTGAGAAGTCATTATATCTTTGCATTTCTTAGCATCCCTTTTTTCTTAAAAACAGCCATGGAATAAAGATGAACAAACAGCCTTCACAGCCTGGCACAGTATGTGTGATAAATGTGAATTTCCAGTTTCCCCTTTGCTTTCAGACTGGGGAAGTGCTAGAAAGGAAAGTGGAGCCAGGTGCCTTTCTCCCCCTAATGGACCCTTCTCTTCCTTTGATGCTTCAAGGACCTGCCCAACCTAAGAAGCTCCCAGAGTTCTCCATATCTAGAGCATGGCTCCATATCTGCCTCTAGGGTACCCACAGCTCCCACCTCCCTGGTGAAAACTCCCTTGAGGAGACAAGAGTTGTTTAGAAAGGCTTGAGATGAGGGCAGAGCCACAGCCTCACTCTACAAACAGCTTCTCTCCTCCAGCCACGATGTTTCCCATCGAGGGAAGTGGGAGGGCCCCTGTGAGGAGGCGCCATCGAAGCCCCAGCCTGCCACTTGCCCCATCTGCTGCCCACAGGTCCGCACAAGACAAATACCTGCCACGCCGCTGGCTTCCAAAGCTTTCCTTAGTTGTGTTATGAGCTTTTATTTAAAAAGCACATTTAATACAAGTATAGTTTCGCAGATACAAATTTTCACTTTGTATGCTACAAAAGTCTTTGAATATTATTCTCTTTACAAAATGGAATCTTACAAAAATACTGACAATTTAATGTTTTTATACAGTTTCTCTAGTTGCAGTTATTCCTTTCATTGTAAAACAGTGGCTACCACAGAGCTATGATATTTTAGTCATGATTTCAAAAACAATTAACTCAATGCTTTTTTAAGCAGCTAAAGTAAATAACACAGGTCAAGACACAGTTTATAATCGTAGTGGATATAGCTAAAATTGTCTCAGAAATAATATTTTACATAGTTAACTTTTAATGTTTTATACATTATTTATATAATATTTATATATAAAAATCATAGCTTGCTATATGTTGAAATGAAAGGACGGATTCTGTAGTAAGGATGTGCAGGTGGTTGACCCATATGGTTCTGTGTAGCCCTTTGAAAGGTTTGCATCCAAGGCTGAAAAGCATTGCTTCCTTCCTCCTTTCCTCAGAGGTTCAAGAGAAGAGGTCCCTGCTTACCGCCTAGAGTGGGACCTCTCTTGGAAGGACACTTGTGGATGGAGGACAAGGAAAGCTCTCTGCGGAGATTTAACCCATGTGTTCTGCCCAGCAGAACCTACCAAGAACTGCCCTAGGGGTCAACCCCAAGACAATAGTGCTTTAAAAGCTCAGCATGAGCCTCTCCCACAAAGACCCTCTCCACTCCATTACTTTGAAGGACAGCCTCTTAGGCCTGAAACCATCTGCCATTCTGCCGTTCTGGCTTGAGGTTGCCAAAAGAGTGGTCACCTTTCCCTCTGCCCCTCTGCTCCCCTTCTCTTGCACAGAAGCCAGACTATGCCGCTGCTCATCTCTGGACCCTCACCAGAAATCCTGGTAGGCACATAAAATGATTTCAAGGGAAGGCACGGGAACCAAAGTCTAGCCATTTCTAAGTGTGTAAGTGCTTGGTGATTCATGTACACAGCGGCATCCTGTGTGTGGCATTTCTCCATCACAGGATGACGAGTCAAAGAAGACAGGAGGCTTCATGCCCTCCATCTCTCCTGAAATTGTGCTATTTGTGAAGTTCACTCTTTCATAAAGTCTCCTAATCTCTAGTGTGAGGGATGTGGCTGTGGGCCTGTGGCCTGCAAAGGTGACAAAGGCCTGAGGACTGGGAGTTTGGATTTGGGGTCTGATTCCTGGACCAAGCAAATGTGCTCATTCCTTATGTTTAAAAAATACAATAGAACCTCCTGCACCAACATCACAGTGGAGAATCAAGTGGGAGGGGCAGAAGGCAGGGAGAGGGGAGCTCCACAGCCAGGTCCTGCACTCAGTGCAATGGCTCTGTGTGCTCCCACATGAACCTGTGCTCTTCTCCCAGACCCGGGGCTTCTCTGATCACAAGAAGCCCAGTGGCCTCTGCTTACATCATCTTTCCATTTGCTCCTGCATGGGCCGGGTTCACTAGAACATGAACACAGAGCCCACTGCACACCCGCAACTCGGCACTCGGCATCAGTCTGCTGTCGTTCCCACACAGGTGAACACAACAGCCTATTCTGGAAGGCCACAGAGGAAGACTTTTTAAAAAATCAGTTGGGCGAAAAGTTTTTCCCTACATTCTACTGTCTGATGAGATTAGAGAGAGCAGCAAGAACTTGCTGTCAGCAGTCACTTTACAGGACCCACATGGAAGGCGGGTGGCACCTACACCATGTTGTGGCGACTGTTCCTGTCGATGACATCCACCGGGGAGAGGACCTCCTTCCTCATCGCGGCAGGAGGCAGGGAAAGGGTCGACTTAGTCTTGAAGAGGTCCGACACGAAGAATACCTAGGAGCACAAAGAGATCCAAATCAGTCTTCAACATCCAGGGTCTGGGGCAGACACAGGCCGAGGGAAAGGAGGAGGGACAGACTGTTGGCAAAGGCAGCCCCAAATCACAGGGAAAGGCCCCAGAGACCATGCCATTCAGTCTGATTGTTCAGATGGGGAAACTGAGTTCCCCAGAAGAGTAGTGATATGCCCTAGGTTGAATGAGAATAAAATCTAGTTTTATGGACTCTTAGTCCAGTGCACTATATTTGCAAACCTTATTTCCTTATTTCTCAAGGGAGATGGAAGATAAGTTCCTAAACCAGGGAAATGAGTCATCATTAGTCATTGATCAAATCACACTACAATCCCTTTCCTCACTATGGAATCCAGGGTGGAACTGAGAAAGAGCAGCCGATATGAATTCCTGTCAGTCACAGCTGGAGCAAGGACATAGTGGTGACCCCTTTATCCTGAAAACTCTATGATATCAAGCATTTGATGGGGTCGAGAAGCCAGAGCCTTGTTGCCTGGGAGTCAGCGACTAGGCTAGAGAAAGCATCAAAGACAGCCTCCCATCCTTGCAACTAGACTTTGTCCTCTTCCTTGTGATCACTGGGAACATTCACTGGCACCCACCTGCACGGTCTCAGAATGGCTCTGACAGACTTGCCATCTCTGTGACCTTGAGAGAAAAGATGCAAGACCTTGAGGAATTACCAGACCCAGAAAAATGTCTGCTCTGCACTAGATGTCAAACTAACCCACAGACATTAATCTGGGCCATTTAGCTGCAGGAGTTTTCTTAGTAACCATAAATGGGGGCTGCCAATCATGTGATTTAAAAGGAAATACAAGACTAGGGCTGAGCTGGAGAACTCAACTCTTTCAAAATCCCTGCACACCACAATCTTCTGAGCTGACCTGGCCCTGGCATCACCTGTAGATGGTGACACACTCACTAGTGATGGTGATACTGCCACTTCTTTCTAGCCACCTGATGGGCATTGAAATAGATTATATTTTGGTACTAGAAATCGAGTCCCAGTGAGGCACTGTGCCACTCAGCTAAACCCTTGGCACAGAAATAAGAGTTCTGAGTAAGACATCACCAACACTGGAGCTCTAGAGCCAGGACCTGGTCACAGGAAGGCCTTGGCCTACCTGGCAAATGGATTTCCACAGCAGCCCTGTTGCAGCAACACAGGGAGCAACAAACCAAAGCAAGAAACTGGAGGTGCTGGTTACCAGAGAGAAGGTACAGGGTGGCTGAAAAGGAGTCTCCAAGAAGACTTATGCATTTCACTGTAGAGCCCTCCGCGCTTTCACAGTTTGTACCTGTTACATACAGCGCCCATTGAAACGTTAACTATTTTTGTAAAGTGAGGCTGTGTTCTATGCTACTCTCAAGAAAATGGAATATTAGCTAAGAAATGTAATGATCAATTCACTTACAGCCAGAGCCATTCGGTGTACCATTCACAAAGGAAAACAACTGGGCCTTTTCTCCCATTCTTTTCTAAGGAAGTTAGAGCAGGGACCGCTTGGCACAGAGAAGTTTGTCTGCTAAGGAGAATCAAACCTGAGAACAGGGAAAAACAGACCAGCAGTCTCCTCTGCCTGGAAGCTCTGGGCATCCCAGAAAAGGCAGTCCCTGGTAAGTGGCCAGAGGGGCCCTCAAGTGCCCCAGCGGAGGGAGATGCCAACAGACAGGACTGAAGTGAATGTGCCATAGTTCGGTTTCCAGCCCCTGTCCCCGGTGTCTCCATCTGTCTGCAGTGGCTGGACTTCGGGACTGTCAGGACAGGCACACAGTATCTACTTCTCTACCTGGCAAACGGCCCTCTCTTTCATCTTTTATCTTACAGGAAGTGGGTTCACGCGATCCCTCCATCGCCGATTCTCACTTGTACTGGACTCATGAAGGGTCCTCACTGCCCGGATTTCTTCTTTTCTGTTTCTTTCCTCCTGCTGCTTCTCTTCCTTCCTCTTCCTCTTCTCCCTCTACTTCTCCTCCTTCCCTCTCTCTCCTATCCCATTGAGGCCACCCCATCTGCTGTAGGCAAATACAGCAGGGAACGGCTCACTCCTCCCAAACACACGGCCCCCCTTCAGGACCTGAACAGTCTACCCCTCCATCTCCTGGATGACCTTCCATTGTACCTGGTCTCACAGCAACCACACATAAGGTCCTATTTTCCTAACTTCAAGACAAGAATAATACAAAGAGGAAAGCACGTAATGAGTCAAGAAGACCTAAACCCATGTTGGTTCCATAGTGCAGTACACAGAGATTCTTCCTGTGATATGTGAGACCTGAGAGTCATTTCTATGCCTTGACCATGTCTCATGCCCCAAGCCTTGCTGTGGGCTACACCCGCCAATGGGAAGCCAAGCCCCAGGATCACCCACACCACTGGGCGGGGCCTTGCACATCCACGGTGTTCAGTCAATATTTGTTGCTGAAATTCTAAAGTTCTCTCCAGGAAGTGGGAGGCAAGCACTTCGGCCTTGGCCCTCCTGGCCTGTGCAATGTGTACGGTTTTGGGGACGTTCACATTAAGACACCACCCCACACTGCCAAGCGGCGAGATGAAGGGCTGGGTTGGTCCGCAGAATGAGCCTCCAACTGGACTCTGATCTCAGGGTAGCTTGAGGTTACACCAACACTTTGAGGGGGGATCATGAAACACGATCTGAGATCCAGTCCTCCTAATGCCTGAGCAGCTTAATAAACAGAGCACGGGGAAAAGTGAAAGCGAGCTGGTCTGGAGAGCTCTCACTTCCTACAGGTGATGATCTACCAGAGGTGCACCAGAGGCCCAGACTGGGGAAGCCCAGCACAGACCCACAGCTATCACAATCCACAGGGCACATCTGCTCAGCGACAGCCCACACACCAGCCCTTCCCTGCTTCACGAGGAACTCACTAGGCCTTAGCAAACGGGGGAACTAGGCTGAGAGGAGGTCACGGTTACTCAGTCCAGGACATTTGCTTTCAATTTAACTTCTCTGATTCTTTGACTTTTATGAATTTATTTTGAAAAAAGAATGAATGTGATTCATAAACACATATTATACTCCTGCTGTGTGTAAGCCCCAAGAATATAAAGGCAGAGTTCTTCACCCTCCAGAAGTTGACAGACCAACGAGAGAGAGGCAGGGAAAAAGTCAACCACAGTATCCTGTTTGAAGAACCATGATAGAGGGAAGCACAGTGCCAAAGAAGTGCAGGGTACCTGGCCTGTGCCCTACACTGTTGGAGGGAGCTGGCCTCAGAGGGCTTCTTTCAAGGGCAGATAGCTGAGCTTCGCTTTAAAGACTACAGAGCAGCCAGCCAGACGGTGAAGCAGAATGCATGCTGAGGAGCTGCCAGAAGCTCAGCCAGGCTGGGCTCATGAAGCCAGGGAGCTGCTGGCCCAACCTTGAGAAGCCTCCTTGGACCCACTCAGCTGCTCAAGTCTCAGGCTGGGGCCCTAGGAATCATCGTCAAGGCTTCAGCAGGGAATCTGCATGTTGGAAGTGCCTACACTGGGGTCTCGTTAGCATCTGAAATGCAGAAGGCTCAGTGAGGTACAGTGGGCTTGAAGCAGGGCTGCAGAGTCTAGGGGAGGGTGAGGCCTGACCTCTACCCATACCAGGAAGGCAAGAGGAAGAGGTGGGTTCGGAAAGGTTGACACGCGGGCTTCAGCTGATAGAGGGGGTGGGCATACATGTGGGTGGGTAACAGCTGAGAGGGAAGCAGTGCTTTTTATTTTCTAGTTCTGTTTTTTACTCTAGAAATCCACGCACCACTTTCCATGAACATTGCTAATATGCTTAGGGAAAAAACAATAGTTCTGCTTTCTTTTGCCTGCTGTATTTTGGCTTTCTCTGATATGGTGTTGGGGAGGTGATTCTGACCTCCTGTGGAGTCAGAACATGCTCAGATCTAGAGGTGGAAGACGATCGGATTTATCCAAATGCTAGACAAGGTAGCTCTTCCTTGGCGAGCAAGACACAAGATGACACACAAACAAGGTCATGTGAAGCTCAAGGAAGCTCGATCACATGACCAGGAGATAAAAACCATTCAGGGAGAGAGGCAAACCCTGCCTGTCACTACTACCTAATCCTCCTCCATCCCACATCTGATCATACAGCACCAAAAAAGTATCTCTTTAAAGTAGGGCACAGTGGCTTTCAAATACAAGTTTTGCCATTTTCAGCCCAATACCTACATGAGGGACACAAATATATCTCAGGGGTCACTCCAAGGGTGATAGGAAGTCCTACAGGTTGGAATTCTGGCATATTGGCCTGTGTGTTCAGTGTCAGGCTACACAAAATCATTTCTTTTTCTCTACCCCTTATGCACAAAGAGAAGGGAAAAAAAGAACTAGAAAAAAAGAAAAGGATAGTGGGAAAGTAGGAATAATGAAGAACGTGAAAGAATGTACAGAAGCTGCCAGTAGAGACCCGCTAGACAATAAGATCTGCTTCCCAAGACCTCCGTACCTGGGGCTATTTTGGGCAGCGAATCAGCACACTGAAAAAGGTAGATACTTCCAATGTCACTGTCAGCATCTGTCTCTTCTGGAGACGCCATTCCCTTTAAAAAAGCCCCCAGATCCTCTGCTGGGATCCATGCAGACCAAAACAAAGAAGTGTCTACTTCCACTGTGGTGGGTGGCTGAGTCAGCAATCTCTGAGTTCACTTTATTAAGGGCAGATTATGGCAACACAACTGCCTTTAAGTGTTTCTGGAGCCCTGCAGTGTTTTGACTCCTGGCAGTGTACAAGAGAACCTGAAGACAAGAATCACATCCTCATGCACTGAGAATCATATACACTCCACTGAGCTTGGATACCAGCACAGGGCAATTGTCTCTGAGAGCAAAAGATTCTCAGAAGCAGAAGAAAACGCAGCTGGTCTTCTGGTATTTCTCAGGATGCAGTCAGTACTTCATCCCTTTCAGAGTCACTGGGCTGCTTCTTGAAAAAGCAGATTCTTGGGGGCAGTGTAGACCTATGGAAGT